AGGGGGGGGGAGCTGGTCTTCAAGGTTTGTTGTTGTTCAGTCATTAAATCATGTCCAACTCTTCATGACCCCACGCCAGGCCCTCCTGTCTTCCACTGCCTCCCGGAGTTGGGTCAAATTCATGTTGGTCGCTTCGGTGACCCTGTCTATCCATCTCATCCTCCATCATTCCCTTCTCCTCTTGCCTTCACACTTTCCCAACATCAGGGACTTTTCTAGGGAGTCTTCTCTTCTCATGAGATGGCCAAAGTATTGCAGCCTCAGCTTCAGAATCTGTCCTTCCAGTGAGCACTCAGGGTTGATTTCCTTCAGAACAGATAGGTTTGTTCTCTTTGCAGTCCAGGGACTCTCAAGAGCCTTCTCCAGCACCACAATTCAAAAGCATCAATTCTTTGGTAGTCAGCCTTCTTTATGGTCCAAGCTCTCACTTCCATATATTGCTCCTGGAAAAACCATCGCTTTGACTATGCGGACCTTTGTCAGAAAGGTGATGTCTCTCCTTTTTAAAGTCTTCAAGGCTACCTGGGGGCAAATTGTCCTGTGCATAGCTCTCCCCCACATCATTGCAAATGGCATATGGCAGAAGAGCTGAATAATTCTCCCAATCATCTGTGCATCGCTCCCCATGCTCCTTCATCTCGATCTACTGTACTAGAAACTGCTCAGTACCTATGTTGCTCCTCAGCTCACATCAATTTTTTGGTGCAGCAGAACCATCTGGAGGTTGGATACGTTCTGACTACAAAACCCAGAATCCCCCAGCTCACTGATAAAGCAGGAGTCTGAGGATGGCATCCAGGAAAGTAATTATTCTAAGCTCTGGAGTCGATATTGGGAAAGGGTGAGGGTAAGACGAGAAGGGGATGACAGAGGACGAGATGGTTGGACAATGTCACCGAAGCGACCAACATGAATTTGACCCAACTCCGGGAGGCAGTGGAAGACAGGAGGGCCTGGCGTGCTCTGGTCCATGGGGTCAGGAAGAGTCGGACATGACTTAATGACTAAACAACAACAACTGGAGCTGGCACATGGGAAAACAAGTGCAGGTGGCTAGGCCTATGGGACAGAAAGATGTACCGAAAATTCCATCCACCTTTTTCCTTTTCTTCTTTTATTCTGGCAAGTTTATAAGTGGCACATCGCTGCAAGACTGCCCCCAAAACTCACAATAACAATACCAATGGTCTGGATAGATTCCTGTGCACGTTTAACCCTGTGGCTGTTTGGTTTATGGAGGTTCCTTTCGAGACAAATTTGCTCTCAGGATCCTGCCTCTAAAGTCAGCCACACCTGGCAGATCCGAGCAAAGTGCGAGAAAGAAGAATGTCGGGAAGGTTCATAAACACAAAGACAGAAGCAACGAATAAAGCAGCCGTGGGCTTCGCTAGTACCGAGGGTCGTTGCCTTGGGAATCCTGGGAACGGTAGTCCGCAACAGTAACATTTCCAAGCTCTGAAGGCTACTCAAAATTCAGTGGGAAACAAACAGCGATCGATTCCTCAGCTGGTGTGTGGCTAAACAGTGCAAAGCATAGCCCCAAAATATATTGATGGCCATCCATTTGAACAGCTTTAAAAAGGAACTCAATAGAATTTGGAAAAGTAACTTTTTTTTAGAACACCAATGCCCAGAGCCCTGGCCCTCCAATCCCACACCTTTCCTGGCGAGAAGATTTTGAGCATCAAATAGTAACTTTCCCCAATGCTGGGACTGGAAAAAAATCATGAGAAATCTTTTATCGGAGGTTCCTAGTCATGGGTTGCCTTCAAGACAAACATTTATTTCAAGAGAGCTTTCGTGCAGCATCTTAAAAAGCAGAGACACCGCCTTGCCCACAAAGATCCGCATCGTCAAAGCTATGGTTTTTCCAGTAGCGATGTATGGAAGTGAGAGTTGGAAAGTGTGAAGGCAAGAGGAGAAGGGGATGACGGAGGACAAGATGGATGGACAGTGTCATTGAAGTGACCAACATGACTTTGACCCAACTCCGGGAGGCAGTGGAAGACAGGAGGGCCTGGCGTGCTCTGGTCCGTGGAGTCACAAAGAGTCAGACACGACTTAACAACTAAACAACAAGAACAGCAAATCTTTTGTGGATGATGACACACTTCAGAAAAAGAGAGAACAAAGCCTTCAGTGACTGAGTTATAAAGGACTTGTGCTGGAGTATTTCTCTCCTGGCGAATTACCCCTGAATTGCAAGCCTCTGAGATGGCACTAAATTTTTATCTTTTATTATTATTTTTTGGCAACACATTGTTTTGTTTTTGCTCTGCTTGGTGTTTTGTTTTGTCTTGTCTTGACTATCTATGCAGAAAAAGACTTCAGCACCTCTTGGAAAACTCCTGGTCAAACAGGATTTATACCACCGCTGAGGGATCTACTTCCACCAGGACAAGATCCCGCGTCCCCCTGTGTACCGGCTCAAGGGAAGCACCAAGACCATAAAATTCCACCCTCATCTTTCTGGCGGGCTTCCAGAGGCCCAGACTGGCTTTTGTGGGAAACAAAACATGAGACAAGAGACAAGCTTGGTCGGATCAAAGACAGCCCTTCTTGTCTTTTTATGAGTTCATTTAGCCTTACACCCAGGGAGGTGGATGGAAGACTGCAGGCTAACTTTAGGTCAGCTGAGTACCTCCCCAGTGGCTGCGGGATTCCTTCCTTGGGGAGCTAGGCTGATCGTCCTCCTCCCCTTTTGCTGGTGGATGAAGACTTTTCTAGTTAGCCTTGCCTTTGGCTGCTGGCTGGTTTCTGAAGAAAGGCTCTTTAAGGGGGTGCCATGGATCTTTTGCTGTCTGGATAGTTAAGTGGAGCCAGAGGCCGGGAGTTCGATTCCCCACTGTGCATCTCCAGAGAGAAGAGCCAGCCTGGGTGGCCTTGGGCCAGCTACACCATCCCGGGGCACCCCTAGAAGAAGGAAATGCGAAACCACTTCTGAGTATTCTCGGGGTCACTATAAATCAGAATGAACTTGATGGCACACCATTATTATTTTTATTATTGCCTCTTTCCCCTCTTTCCGCCGGGGTTTTATGCCTGTTTGTGTGTTTAAGCCTCCTAAATGATTTTAATTCCACCCTGGTTTTAATATTTTTTAATACGATGATTAAGTTTAATTGGGTCTTCATCTTCTAACAAATTGTGTTTTTAAACCACATCTGTTTTTATTCACCTTCTGAATAGAAACCTCCTTGCTTGCAAGAAAAGGGAAGGACAGGATAGAAATCAAAGGAAGACATGGAACGAGACACCCAGCCTCTAGGATGCCAGATTTCCCTAAACGGGAGTATGGATGTGATGGGTCGGAACTTAGCGATAGAACGCATGGCCCAAAATGCAACCCTCGGCATCTCCAGTCGGGCTTGGTCGTGGTTTCTATCCGATACCCAGTCAAGCCGGGGCTGCTGGTTCGTGTTGACCACGCTGCACTAGATCAACCAAGGGTCTGGCTCAGTTCAAGGCGGCGTGTTATGATCCGATTGATTGATTGATTGATTGATTGATTGTATTTATTGATCCTAGATTCCCTGTGGGCATCTGATGGCCAGCTGGCCAAGGATTCCCCTGTGATCTTTAAACCTGCTCCTGAATAAGGATGGAAACATTATTCATTAAATTCTTGGTTCGTGTCCATTTTAGGTGCTCCTTAGCATCAAGAAGACGTCTGAGGAAGTGGACTTGATCCACGAAAGCTCACATGAAAACATGGCAGCCGTGAAAGTGCCATGATGTGGCCTTTTGGGGGGGGTCTTCTTTACTTTTATTATTTATTTATTCAGTGTCACTTATTTATTTTTATTTTTTTTTATCCCGCCCAACGAGCGGTAGAGCCACTACTCTGGGTGGGAAACCAATCGCCATAACACAAAGTACACAACAGGCTCATTTAAAAATATATATCACATAGACAGCAAGCAAGGAACATAATATCTCACAATAAAATGAAATACAATAATATTAGGTGGCAAAAATGGCAAGTTGAGACGTACCCAAAAAAAGGCCAGTCACTCCAGTGAAATTACTCTCGGGTAAGGCCATAAAAGGCTTGTGAAAACAGCCAAATAGCTTTTCTTTCGGTTTTGCTTAGAATCACAAGACACCGAGAGGAATAATTTTCAGGCCCCACAAAATTCTTTTGGCACCAGCACAAGAGCAAGACAAGAAGTGCTCCCCCCCCCCGCACAATCACCTTTAATTTTGTTTGTTTGTTTGTTTTTGCTCAAAATGCCTCTGGGAAGTCTGCACTAAATGGAATCTCCGTCTCTTTTAAGTAGCAAGAGAAAGCAAAGTGAACAGAGAGAGAAAAAGAGAGTAAGCGCAGGAGGAGGTATCTGATGGATTTAGAAAAGGCACGAAGAATCCATCCAGGACTTCAGAAGCTGGAAATTCGACTAAATTCTTAAAAACGGCACTAAAAAACCCATCCTATTAAGAGCAACAGAATGACTTCATCCTCTCACAGGGACAGGAGGGTAGGGGGGTAAATGGTGATCCCTCCTCCTCACCTGAGAGGAGAAGACAAGCAAGGATTTATAGCCCTGCTCCTGATCTACAGGTAAAGCGGACACCCTTTTTACCTAGCCTTTCCACCCACCTTGCCTTTTCTGCTGATGTCCTGCTTTGCTGCAGCAGAAAAGGGGAAAAGGACTGGCAAGACCAGGATCAGAAACGGGCAGCAGAACCAGGAGCCCATCACTCGTTGAAACATGAGTGGCAAATCTCCAAGGGGACGATTTTAGGGATGTATGAAACTTATCCTGCTATTTCAGGTCAGCGGCCTGTTCTCTCTCCCTCCGCCCACCTTCCCCCAGCCCCTTCCAGATCACCACACAAGCTTCGAAATAACCTTCCCAAACTTCCAGCCACATGTCATACTTGGTTTCCTGCTCTCTTTCTGTCTCCCTCTAGCACTCTCTTTCTCTCTCTGTCTCCCTCTTTCTCCCTCCTGAAAAGCCAGTTGTGCAAACGTACAGCCAGGGTAGCAGAAGGCTCACTAAGTGTGCTGACAAGCCGCAAGCGGTGGTCGATGGAATCGTTGGACTCAGACATGCACCAGAAGGCCCACACCAAGCCCTGGAAGATCCCTGGTTCCAAGCGGTGGTCGATGGAATCGTTGGACTCGGACATGCACCAGAAGGCCCACATCACACCGAGCCCTGAAAGATCCCTGGAGAGAGAAGCTGCGTTTGGCCATAAGGCATTCTCTGATGCATGGTTCAAGAGAGCAGGCAAAGCTCCTTCCAACTGACTGTGGGCAGAAAAACTGGTGCGGCCACCACCAGCTGTCTTTTCCCTCCCCATGGAAATAACTTGATTATCTATCTATCTATCTATCTATCTATCTATCTATCTATCTATCTATCTATCTATCTATCTATCTATCTATCTATCTATCTATCTATCTATCTATCTATCTATCTATCTATCTATCTAT